GTAATAATATAGAAAATTGAATATTTCAGAAGGATCTAAACATTTAACACAATATCACATTCTCTGCATTATATCATTCATTGCTCACGCCATTCAAATTCAAATAAATTCTTCACCAAAAAAGGTTCATATAAATTCTCAGCGCTGTTTGGTCACAGTGGAGACGTGATATGTAGACACGCGAAAGATACTAGAATTTCAATTCGTACTACTAGTTTAGTTCGCTTTCCCTTAGTTTTCTCAGCAACCAAACGCAAATCAACAGTTGAAAGAAAATTTCAAAGAGTAAATCTAATCAACAAGACGAGAAGGTAAAGGAGGCAGCGTAGACCAACCAGAATCTTGTCCGCGAAACCGACGGTGAGGACGACGTCGGAGTTGGAATGATCGCGAGCAAGTTGGAGCCGAGCTAAGGAGGACGAAGAGATCCAGCGGTCAAGTGGCCGTCGCCTTCTGTACTTGGGATCCAGAGGCACGAGATCGGGACACGTGGAGATGATCGGAGGAGGAGGATAGGGGAAGAAGCGAGCGAAGTGGACCTCCCACTGCTCCCTAACGGCGCTCACAGTCGCCGTCGTCGGCTTCGTGTGAATCGACTGTACGCTTTCGCATGGTACCACAGCCAGAGAGCGGGCCATTTCTTTCAGGCTCTTTCTCTTTCTTCTCTGTTTCTTCTCTCCGCCTTGGTTTGGATCCATCGCAACGAAATTCGAAATTTCGAACTGGAGGGGAGAAAGATCAAGTACGAATTCAGGCTGCCATGAATTTATATGAACAAACAGACAGGTGTCGCTGTGTGATTGGTCTATGCTAGACCTGGGTCGCCACGTCCCGCGCGTTTTTTGAGTAATGAAGTTTGTAATCTTGGTTACCACACTAGCACATTTGGTGAAACTATTTTTCCATTTAATATTAACTTATTATTTTTTCAACTGTATTTGATCCATTCATCAAATCAGGTGACGCCCATTGTAATTTGTTGCAAATTTGCAATGGCATTTTTAATCTGTTTGAAAAAACTAATATAAATTTAAAATTTTATAAATAATTAGAAGAATGATGCATTCTTTACAGTATTCTCTTGTGTAAGACTGTACCTTTTTTTTTGGGACTGTTCAAAATCGCATCCAATCCACCAAAATTAATCAATCTAATACACTCCAATTAAAAATTGATCAATGTCAATAAGTTTGGCGGATTGAATTAGATCCTTAAATTCGCTTCACTCCGCTATTGATTCATCTTTGTGAGGGTAAGTATTGCATTCGGATGGTGTTTTGTGGTTGAGAAGTTGAGTCTCCTTGAGTGGTTGTTATAAGTATTTTATTACCAAGGTATTTGTTTGACATGTACAAGCATGATGCATTACTAACTAAACAAAAGAAATAATGAATAATAAAAATTGAAGTTTAAGATTAAGATTAAGACAAATAAACAATAGCATCACAAATCCACCTCATATATGATATTTCATTAAGCAAAAAACTATTACAAAGTGAATACAAATCATATCATTAAACGAAAAAGTGATAAAATAAAAATGGTTAAAGAATATCCCGGAGGACCTGCAAAAGGTTTGCTAATTATTGAAACAATAAAATGACAAAGCTTTAAAGACAAAATTTCAGAGACAGAGCTATTGCAGGATTCCACTTAGCTATAAAACCCTATTATAAGAAACTTGAGTACGGTTCGATACATTCGAAAATCAGAGAAATGGGGATCAAAGTCAGGAAGAACCAGAGAAGAATGCTAACTGATTTAGATGATACATGGCCATGAACAACTACAGTGTCAAATCACCCCCCATTTCATGGATAACTCTCTCCATTTTAGTCAACATATCTGGAGATAACAGGGCAGGAATAAAGAATCAGAAACAAATTAGCATTTCAGGTAATAAGATATATGGAAAATACTTTTTTTCCAAAGATGGTAGTGCTTAATCAATTTCAGATATTAGCAGCGTCTGAATCTGGTGGTGTTCAGATTGTTATTGTGTATGTAGACACATCAAACTAAAGTGACAATCTACAGGTAGGAACCAGCAAGCTCCAACTTGAGTGACAAAAAGCAGAATATGTATTTTTAATAACACGATGAACAAAGTTGTTTGCCATTGAAGAAGTAATAAAGACAGATATGGCACATCAGGCAAAACAAGTTTGCAACAAGATTTAATTTGCAGAACATAGCCTACCTTAAAAGGATTGATCAGGAAAAAAAGAAGAAGTAAAAATAGAACCTACCTTGGAAGGAAGCATCTCTCCCATATCTCTGCAACATAACAAACTTGTATGTTAATACATCAGTAGTTTTGCAAAACATCAAATACTCTTATATGCAAATAGTCTGTTTACAAAGGCATTGCAATTAACATTACACTATTATACTGACCAAGAACATTCTCTAAGACCAACAAGTTAAAAGCAATAGAAAAGATACCGCAAGTTGGGATATGAGATTGACTTCTTGTGATACGACTTCCTGCGATACAGTTGATTGTGCTGCCACTACATCATTCAATCAAGGAAAATGGTTCGTTACATGGAATCAGAAGTGTTTACTGCTAAGTCGTCGAATCTACCTTGTTCTACAACAGGATGAGAGTTGCTAAGCCACGAGGTGAAACTAGGAGGCAAGATTTGGGAGTTGAGATTGACTGCCTCTGATACAGCTGATTTTGCTTCCCCTACATCATTCAATCATGAAAAATGGTTCTTCACATGGGATCAGAATAAACTTTCCTGTTTACTGCTGAGGCAAACAATCTATCTTGTTCAACTGGCAGAAAATAAATCTATGTATAAAATAATTTACCATGTTCAACAGCAGGGTGACAGTCACTTGACAATGAGGTGAAACCTGGAGGAAAGGCTGGAAAGTTTCTCTGGAAGTTATGAATATTTTTCACTTCCTGAGTACGCAAGTATGGCTTAGCTTGATTATTCAGGCTTGGTGATATTTGAGTAGTACAAGTCTGAGACGGAGGCATGATATTCAAGTCTGTGGAAACCCTGAAAACACAGCAAAACACTATTACAGATTCTCCTCAACATGTTTATTGGCAGCATATAGCCCCTGCAACGGGGAAAAATGAAGAATTTTAGGAGATAGCCAGTTTTGTTTTTACCGGCTGAGGGGTATATTAGAAGACATGAACTCAGACTCTGCTGAAATTTCAGATCCCATGTCAATATTGAGAGGTTCAATATCTCTCCCTATGTTGAAGATCTCCTGAAAAACAAACCAATCTTTACACCACTCACCATTGCAAGACAAAGGCTTAAGTAGTCTGTGATGGTAGCATGGCAATGAACATTGTACATTTTTCCTTTTTTTTTATTTTTTATTTTATGAAATCTATATTCAAATAACACACTGTACACTATTTGAAGTAATGGCTTCACCTTCAACGAATTCATGAATCTCTGTGCCTCATCGACTGACAAAAATCGCAAGGCAAATTTCTGGACCTAGAAACAAGACATTGTGAAATTTTAGCCCCAACTAAGAGAGAATGCCCATCACAAATGAAATTCAGTTATTATATATGAATAAATTCCACACCAAAAAAAAAGGAAAAAAAAAGCATTGAGCAGCTTGCCTCGCCCACACAATCTCTGTAGCTGATAAACACGGCTCGAGTACCCCTGGCAGGAAATCCAGGGTTGCATGAGACCTGAGGCCAGACAAACTGTAGCTTGGAAACATAGTGCTCCTCCTGAAACATGTTCAATCATAATCACTCAAAGATTTTTCAAATAAAATATGCTACTCTGAACAAAAGAAATAACATATTGAGCGAGCCACAGAAAAAGGCCTCTTAAGTTATTAGTATCTAGATTGGGAACAATCATAAAAATTAGTACATTTTATTCGGACAACTTGTGTTCAAGCATTTTAGATATCAAATTTTAAAAAAATCAAGCATGAGTTACTTGGATTTGAATTCCTAGTTATCCAGCTCCGATTTTCCTTGGTTTTCTCAACAACCAAACGGAATCTACAGCTGAAAATGAACAAGACGAGAAGGTATAAGCGAGACGAGGTGGACTCACCAGAACCTTGCCACTAAAACACACAGTGAGGAGGACTTCGGAGATGGACTGGTCGTGAACAAGCTGGAGAAGAGCTGGGAGGGAGGAGGAGACCCAGTTGCCAGCTGGCCGTCGATTTCTGACCTTGGTAGGCAGAGGGACGAGATCTGGACACGTGGAGCTGATAGGAGGGTAGCCGAAGAAGCGAGAGAAATGGACCTCCCACCGCTCTCTAGCGTCTCTCAAAGCCATTTTCACCGGCTTAGTCTCTCTGCGTTTCCTTGTTAAGAAAGCAAGAGTGCCTGCCATTTGTTCGTACTGGGTCGCCGTTTGTTTGTATTGTATATGGACACACACTGGTCTGTATTTGCTTGTGTACTGGGTCCCGCGCACTTTTTAGACGTCCATGGTCCACTGTGATAATCAATTAATTAATTAATTTTCAGGTGAGGTAAATTTGTTGCTTGGTATAGGGTTTTAAATCCAATTGGCAAAGGCAGTTGTTTCAATGTGGACTCATTTACATATTCAAAAAGGTGACTCAAGCAACCAACTAGGTGGAAATAGGCTCGAGAAAATCCTAACGAGCAAGGTGGTACAAGGGCTTTTAGCGAAACAACCAAACCCAAATATTATATAGAAAAGTTGATATACATAGAAATTTCTATTGAGTTTGGATGAAGAAATTTAAAAGTAGAAAGGATTTCATAAATGACGAAATTAATGTTGTAAAATTTTTTGTTTTGGTGACGAATTTAAAACACGAAATTTAATATTTATTTGTAAATTGATATGTTTTAAAAACTCAATCTCTCTTGGAATTTTAGAAATGATGACTTTTAGATAGAATTTAAAGTTGGGATTTATGATATCCAAATTCCATGTTGTTTCCCATGTAGAATTTCTAAATTTTTTTTAAATTTTTTTATTTTTATCCAAACACGGGAATAGGTTCATATCAATTTAGAAATTCTGACTTTGGTCAAAATCCCAAGTTTATTTCCCTCATCCAAACGTAGTTGGGTTTAATCATCGGATTTTATGACTTTGATCTCAGTCCTTTGACTTTTGTGCCACATAAAATTATATTCTTTTTTTAAAAAAATATTTTATGATGTAATCTTTTTATTATTTTATTTTTACAATCATTTTTTGTTCCAATGTTGCCTCTTATGTCATATTACCCATTGCCTATTGCATAGGTATATGTTTTTTCATTTTTTTGACAATGTGTAAGTATTTTATGTACCTTTTTTCTTATAGGTAACATACAATTTTATTTTGTCTATTTTTGTATCTGACTTATAAGTCGTCTTCTAATTTATATTCCTAACTTAGAGGTAACACGATTTATCATTAAGTATTTTTTTTCATTGCTAATAATAACACTATTTACCTATATGTCACGTACCTAATTTAATGTGGGTGCTTGTCTGGTCTATTGGTGTAATATGTGAGTCTTTACTTTTTATTGATTAAATTGTATTTTATCCATATATTAGGAATATTGTCAAGGAAATAATTCAAAATTTAAGTTCTGGAATTCAATTACAAGGAAATAATGCATTAAATTTAGATTTTTAATGTGTTTTCCTTATTTACCTATTTACCTCAAAGGGTAAAATCAACACAACAAAAAGAGTAATAAATGTCAAAGGACCTACATATAAAACAAAGAACACGAGGACTAAACCCAATGATAGCTAATCGTTTTGGAACTAGATCTAAGAAGCCCAATATTATACTAGGTAATTAAGGTAAGAACAATATCGATATATGATTTGGATAGATAGTAGGTTCCTATTAGGTCCATTGGTACAAAAATTACTTAATTCTTTACATTTTTTGAGAAATTCTGGGATTGCATTCATAATTCAGCCAAAAAAGTCACTAGCCACAAATGGTCATTACAAAAACGTAGCTATCTAACATAAAAATTAAAACAATTCAGGTTCTTTCATTAACAATCACACATGATTGAAGAAACTTTGGCATAGGCATCCCAACTAAAGAAGCAAACTTAGAATAACCAAAACTCGATAAAGCTTGAAAAAACCAAGTCATAACAATACAAATAAAACTCTCACAAATGAGAGGTGGAAAACTCTTACAAAAGAGAGGTGAAAACTACACAGAAACCCAAAGAGTCTCTGTGAGTTATTTTGAACATAAAGAAATTGCAAAAAAGATAGTGGTAGAGATCCAACACTGAAACGCAGATAGAGATTCGATGCCGAGATGCATCCGCCTGTAATGAGTGGAGGGAAATCATTACAAAAAGAAGATAAATAGGAGAAACCTTCTGTGTTTGAAAATTGGGGAAAATAGAAGAATGGATAAAGGGATAAGGTGAGAGGGGAGAAAAAACAATAACTTCCTCCCCTCAAAGTGAAAACGGATATAAAGTGTTTTTTGAGAGAGTGGGGACTAGGATTTTCATCTTGATTCCTTACATTAACTAACTCACATATGAAGTCATTCTCATTAACTAAGAAACCACATGCACAATGTATTTTTAAATTTTCATTCATCTATTTTCAAAAGAAAATATGCATCTCTTTATTTACAGGCATCCCCCGCTTAAAGAGAGAGAACAAGACATTATCCCACTGCACTTTTTAATTCTTTTAATTTATAGTTATATAGGACACCCTCTTTTTTTTAGTGATGACTTTTTGTATTTTATAATATCACACCATTTTCGTGATTACATCTATATATATATTTCAATATATTAAAAAGAAGATGCTAAAACAGTGAAACTTTAGAAAATCACGAATACCCTTAATTAACTAAAACAATCACATTTTGACCACACAAAAAAAAACTAAAACAATCATATTTTAACTAACACCACATAATTACTCTATTTTCATCTGTTTGTTTTATTTATTTTTATCTTATCTTTTGTATACAACGTAAGAATTTTTATAAATGGACTCATTTTAACAAGACATAGCATAATTTGAGAAGAAAAAAAAAAACCCTCAATTAGCCTTGCTCGTGTGTGTTACAATTTTTTCACTTAAAAATATAACATTACAGATTATTTTATAAAGAGTGGTGATTTCCATACTCCTTTTTCTCCTATTTTATCCACTTACACTCTTTTTTCATAACTAAAAAAAGAGTGTAAGTGGATAAAATAGGAGTGGATAAATCATTGTCTTTTATAAAATATCATGTTAGAGTGCGTTTATTTTTATAAAGGTATACCTATTTAGTCTTTAAAATATCTAGTCATCTTTATTGTTTTTTAATTTTTAAAGGGTAAGCTTTGAACGTTGAGAAAACTAATAAATAAACAAAAGGAGTTGGGGTGCATTGAAAACATCAATGCTATCGCCAGTTTTGCGACCTTCCCCAAGTAAGCAGCAACTGCAGAAGAAGAAGAAAACACAGCTGCCAAAAATCAACCATGAAAGCTCTTCTCAATCCAGAACCTTCCGCTTTCACCTCCATATCTTCCATTTCCACCGCCAAACCTCGAAACCTCACTCACTCTCATACCCAAGCATTCCTCAAGCTCCCTGCAAACAACGGCCACCTTTCCAACGGAAGAAGACTAGCCTTGACCACCAGAGCCACATTGGACTCGGTCAGGATCGATCAATCAGGGATTTCAGAGACCGATATCCGAAATCCGACGGTTTCTTCGTCGTATCGGAGCTCTAAACTTCCGAAGCCGAACCAGACGGTGCTGGACGCTCAGGCTAGGGTTTGCACCGGCCCCACCCAGACCAGACCTCTTGGAGAAGACCAGGCCTTCAAGGTTCTCGACACCATATACAGATCAGTCAAGGGAGAGCTGATAGATGAAGAACCGGTGTCGAAATCACAGCTCGGAGCATTTTTCGCGGCGATGGCAATTCGCGCTAATGCTTTTCCGGAAGGGACGCAATGGAGCGAAGGCGAGAGTCGCGCAATGAACCAGTTCTGGCCGCTTCTGGTTCGAGCCCTTCCGGCGGACGTGGTGTTCATAGCCGACCCGGAAGGCTCGTTAATGGGCACGGGAAGCTCAATTGGGCCCCAATTCGTCGGTAACGGCACGAGGGAGATGAGATTGGTCGGTGTCCTCCGGGAGGTTTTGGCCGGCGGCCACCTTGGATTTGAAGAAGTTCAAGGTGTTCTGCGAGATGTTCTTCCATTGAAATCAATGGAGGATGGGACGTCCACAGGTGTAAGTGAAGCATTGCTTTCGGCATTGTTGATAGGCCAGCGTATGAACAGAGAAACTGACCGCGAGTTGAAAGCTTACTGCCTTGCATTTGATGATGAACTTGGTAAGCTCTAGTCTTATTATTATCTCGATTAGTTTTTCCTTTATTTTTCGGAGGATGAACTGTTCGTGTATTTAGGTGCCACTCCAATTGCTGATGTTAAGTCTCTCACTCATTATGGCGAACCTTATGATGGAAACACACGTTTCTTTAGGAGCACGTTGTTTGTTGCTGCGGTTCGATCTTGCTATGCTGAATCTTCCTTGCTTCATGGCGTGGAATGGATGCCACCCAAGGTGAGCTTTCAGCTCTGCTCAACTCATTGACTAGATAATGGAAAATAATAAGGCTCGAGTAATAATGTTTCTGTTTTTTAGGGAGGTGTTACTGAAGAACAAATGCTTCAGTTTATGGGGGCAAATACAAGCTTAAACCCATTGCAGGCAAAAATACTTCTTGAGGTATCTGTGGTTCTCATAAACAGATTTCTTGCTATGCTTACTCATTTTCTTTTCTTTTTAATGTCTTTTGGGTTGTGGTTAAATTCTTTAATTCATTATTTCAGGATGACAAAATTGGTTTTGCCTATATAAGCCAACGTGAAGCCCGCCCTTCTCTGTGTGAATCTCTAGCCATTTGGCATGCTCTGGTTAGTAAGTACTCTAATTGGGATGAAGCTGATAACAAGAATTCTATGATTTGTGCAGGTATTCATTAGTTAAGTTGAGAGAGCATATTAAGAAACGCCCCCCACTGGCAACAACCGAAAAGGTTCAGCAATTTGTGAAGGTCTGTCACATCATTCTTTGCTCTATAAATATTTTAGTAATTTTTTATCCGTGCTATTCCTAAGAAAATGTTGAAGAAATCCTTGACTGGCATTTCGATGCAGAGAAGTCTAGGATGCATCTACTATCTCAATACTTGACTTCCATACAATTGATTTATGTACTTTAATTTCTTAAACATTAGTTGGCATCAACAATATACCATAGTGACATAATGTGTACATGCCATATTCTGTGTTGATTAAAGTGACAAGTTCCCGGCATTAACATGAAAATTTCTGCTGCACTTTACATAGTGAAATATGTATTATTTTCTCAACAGGCCCGTGGGAAGGAAGCAATTGTTACTGGATTTTATCATGAAGGTTATGAGGAGCCGCTCTTAATGCTTATGAAAAGAAGAGGTGTTAATTCTGGCTTGGTTGTGAAGGTTGGAACTTTGCCAATTATGCAAGAAGTGTATGAACATTCAAATATGAAAATTTGTTATTTTCTTAGGCAGCTGTTTGCACTCCAAAATAGTCATCGTACACTCTCCAATGTAAAGAAATAAGAAAGGGATGAGTGAATGATGAGTATTTTGCAATGCTAATCACAACTCCTGTTTTTAATCACAAAACTCCATGATAATCTGCTATTCAAAATCATAGATATAGTTAAGAAGTAAAGAAATAAGTTCAGAATTTCTACATCAACTGAGTTATTCACACAAACTAATCTTGACTTTACTGTTATTGAAGGGTGAGGAAGGAGCCCTCTCGATGACAACGAGATTACGATCAGTAAATTCATCAAAAGGAATTCCTGTAAACTACTGTTCAGGGTTCCGCTCACTGAGCATGGTATCTGCTTGTGAAGTTGATGGTTTGTTCTTTAAGTCATCTTATGTTCTGTTGTTCATTTTTTCAAATGGTTGTAACTTGTAATTTCCAATTTTAAGCTTTTTAAGCATTCATGTTGCTGCTCAAATGTTGAGGTTCATGCATCAAGTTCCTACCATTGAATCTGAAGCCTGAAAGTTGGTTTGCAGGGGTTTCACGCGAGAGTTTTAGTCTAGAGGTTAATGCCAGAGACTATGGTTTTGAACCCACTGACACTCCAAGAACTGATAGATCGGTACCGTTCCTTGATCCCCTGTCCCTCTCCTTTCCCTCATTTTTAACAATCCAGGGTTTTTATGACAAATAATTACATTTTCTGCAAGTTTAGGTCTCGAAGAATATAGAGTTGGGCTTAACAGCACTTCGTGGTAACAGGGGACCAGCTTATGATAGAATAGTCTTAAATGCTGGAATGGTTGATCACTTACTTGGATGTGATGGTGCAGAAGACATATATGTGGCCCTAGATAGAGCCAGAGAAGCTATTGATAGTGGAAAGGCTCTAAAAAGGCTCTTGGATTACATAAAGATATCTAACGAAGTGAGATAGCCCCCAGAATTTGTTTTCAAGAGATAAGTATATGTTGTGATAAAGGAGGAGCAGAGGGATATGATTTAGTATTTCTCAAACTACAGGTAGGCTCATATTTTTCTTTCATCACAAATACTTAGTTATCAACTTATCGTGTATCCCCTTGAGGCATTCATGGATTGTAGATAAAACTGCAGTTGCATATCTGAGTTTTCTCAGCAGTTGCATATGTGAAAGTTTTCTCACATTTGGTTCATTTAGCGTAATGCCAGACGCATCATATAAGTCCTGCGAACCAATTAACTGAATGTGATATGATATGTTATACGTAGGAGTACTAACAGTGGGAACATGGAATGCACAAACACTAACGCACATATCGTTATTATCTTGTAGGTTGAAAGAAGGCCTACTTCCCAATGTTTTGTATGTGTGGTGGAGATATGTCGTAAAAATTTGCTCGTCTATGCTTTGATTTGTTATTTGAGTTGTAAATTTTTGAAACATGTATACCTATGCGGATCGCCAATCCAAGAATGAAGGTCAGGTTGCAGTGACGGGGAGTGAAAATACAAAGTGAATTTTTTTTTTTGGGGTCGAAAAATACGAAGTGATTTGTACGGTGTCTATCGGCCCTTTTATTGATATGATAACCTTAAAGAAAGTTAGGTTTTTTAGGTTTTAGACATAAAAAAAATTTCACTTTTGGAAGAAGCCAAAACTTTTTCAAAAAAGACAAAAAAACCACTCAACTTCAAAATCAAAGACATACAAATGTATTGGATTCTTTAGGAAATCTAAAAATAAATAAGGGTATTTTTGTCCATTTTTGCTTCTTTTAAAATTTTTCTCTCTCCTTTTGCTTTTTCCAAAATGTCCCAAGAAAGTTGCTAATTCATGATGAAAAGTTATTTTCTGTATTTCGTTCGTAAGTTGGTTGTTCTTGTTTGCGTTTGAAGGCACGGGCCCAGCCCTGTCTAGGTAGGGCTGGAGCCCGACCCAAATTTCTAGAAAACCTCTCTAACCTATATAGCCCAAGCCTTATTAAAAAAAGCCCAACTAGTATCATCCAATCCCAGCATGTTGTATCCCCCTAGGTAAAAGAAAAAGGGAGTCTTTAGAGCAACTCCACCCATTTGCCCTTAGCCATGGCAAGGGGTGCGACGCCCCGTCAATACACGAGAAAGGTGGCTGCCCTTGCAAATAGCAGTATTGTATGTTTCCACCCATTGCCATGGCAAAGGGTAATTACTATTCATTTTTTTGTTTTTTTTTTCACAAATTTGTTTACCTAAACAATTCATTTGGATAATATTTTCGGATAAGATATTTGGGTTCGTACGTGTCAATATTTATTATAAAATTCATATCTCAATCGGATAAAATTTTTGGCATTTATTTTTTTAAAAAAAAAAAATCAGTAATTTTTTGGTATTTTTTTTTAAAAAATTTGGATTTTTTTTTATTTTTTTATTGCACAAAAATTGGCTGCCATTGGATTGAAGAAAAAAATCCGATCGGAGAGCCCAGAGCACGACACGTGGACTTTAGCAGTACTGTAGCGCATGGCACTGTAGCGTCACTGTAGCACGTGGGGCCACTGTAGCACGCATGACGTCAGCGCCCGCATTTTGGACCTCGGGCTGAACTGGCCTTCGGGCTAGCCCAAGTTCGTGGGACCCTCAGCCAGCCTGGGCTTCAGCTCACCGCTGGAAACAATTTTTTCAAAAAAGCAATCCCAGCCCGAGGCTCATGCATACCGCTGGAGTCGCTCTTATAATGAGGAGTTTAGAGTGAAGAGCTTATTTGAATGGTTCAGTTTCACCATTAAACTATTTAAAATGTTTAAGTCCATTGATTTTCTTACATGTGTTGATGGTGGAATTAAACCTTTCAAATAAGCTCTTACTCTATATTCCTCATTATAGCCTGTCTATAAATAAATAAATAAATAAAAAATCCCTCCTCTCTTCAGCCAAGACCCAAGTCCCTTTTTAACTTCATGAGCTCCAATATGTCATGATATGACAATGGCTCCTTTTTCTATTTGTTGTTGACACATACACATGTTTAAATCCTTCAGCCTATGTTGAACGAATACGAAAACGCGATGTGGCGATACGGAAAATCTAAAAAAATTAGGATACAAACATGGTTAGGACAAGACAATTAAAATAATAATAAATCTGATAATTAAAATAACAATAAATCCTAATAAAATTACAATAGTATATACTTATATATATATTTTTAAAAAATTCATACTCAATACTTCAACGTCATAATACCATAAAACAAATTCATACTCATTCGAGTTAACTTAGCATTACTCATCTTTCCTTAAACAAAATAAAGAATGATACACATATTTATTCACACATATTCATGATTTATCATAAACCAAATTTTACACATTTTTCATATATGATCTATCATCTTCAAAATAAGAAAAACGATTTCCCACTTCATAAAATAAGAATCGAGTTTTCATAAATAAAAAAATAAAAAATAAAAAGAAACAAAGTGAATGAATTACCCACTCAAAAAGATGATTCTCTCATGACCAAATTGCTATCAATATCCTTAGTCAACCAAAAATATCAGCTCTAGTATGAAGGAACAAAGGGAAAAAAAAAAACATATTTTTAAAAAACATTGTTTACAATTTTAGCCCACTTTTGAAAAATATTTCAAATATGTCTACATAGTTTTCAATAATTTTGTTTTGACCCCAGTTTGTGTTTTATAATTTTTAAATTAGTCCCTGCCATGTCTTGACTTCAGTTGACCGTGTCCAAAACGTGTCTTGACTGTTGACCCATGTCCAAGCCGTGTCCGAGGCGTGTCCGCGTGTTTGACACCCCCACATTTCAGCCTGATGGAATGTCCATACTACTACATAGCCTTCAGCTATAAGGTTTTGCTGCAACAACCTGTTTCCATGCTATAATATTTAGAAGCTCTATAATTCATAAAAGGAAAGCTAATTTCTTAATTGAACCCAAAATTAAAAAGGAAAGTTTATGGGAATATTATATAAGTTATGCTTTACTATCACATATAGCTACTGCTATTAGGATCTTGTGGAAACTAAATTCTCATTGAAGGATTTCCAATATTGAATTACAACTTATATATTGACGAAGATGCAATAATTGCTAATGACGAGGAATCTACTTTTACAATGTAAACACAAGTGAATTATGGTAGGTCTTAAGGAAAATTTGTCGGGTGTTGTATCTTTAGGGAACCTTATTAACACTCCCCCGCAAACTTGACTCGGGTGACGAGACAAGTTTGTTGGACAAGAGACGTAACTGATCCTTGGATAAACCCATTGTGAAGACATCAGTAAGTTGATCAATGGAAGGTAAAAATTGAATGCAATGACTGTCAGAGGCAATGCTCTCTCGAACAAAGTGTAATCTAGGACAATATGTTTAGTGCGAGCATGAAAAAGGGGGTTCGCCGCCATGTATGTTGTACTCAAATTGTCACAGTAAAGGAAGACGAGAAGATGGAGAGGAACCGTAATTCACGAAGTAACCTTTGAATCCAAATAACGTCCGCACATGTATAGGCAAAAGTGCGACATTCAGACTTGGCACTTGAACGGGATACAGTACGTTGTTTATTTGCATTCCAGGAAATCAAATTGGGATAGAAGAAAACACAATAGCCCGTAGTGGAACATCGAGTATCAAGGCAACTAGCCCAGTCAACATTACAGTAGACATGGAGATGAGAGGGGTGTATGGTGAAGTGGAAGACCAAAACCAACAATCCCTTTGAGATAGCGTAAGATACGTTTGACAGCGTCTATGTGAGGGGAGCGAGGATCCACCATGAATTGAGAGACAAACTGAACTGCAAAGGAAATATCCGGTCGTGTGAGGGTCAAATACTGAAGAGAACCAACGAATTGACGATAAATAGAGGGGCCAGAAAGACGTGGGCCAATGTCATAAGAAAGACTTAGCACACTACAAGATATCAAGGGTGTACTTTGTCTGAGTAAGATAAAAAGAACGAGATCCATAGGCAACCTCAACACCCAGAAAGTAACGTAGCCTACCAAGATCTTTCATCTCAAATTCTTTACCCAATGTGTGAATAAAGGACTGTAGATGAGAGGGATGACTACCAGTGAGAACAATGTCATCCACATATAACATTAGAAATATGGTGTGCATCTCAGTATGAAAAATGAATAGGGAGGCATCAGATCTGCTCTAGGAAAAACCATAGGCTAGGAGAAAAGAACTGCACCATTGGAACCAGGCATGAAGTGCTTGTTTTAAACCATAGATTACTTTATGAAGTCGATATATATGGTGAGGGCGAGTTGAGACATATAGACTTCCTTAGAGAGAGCATCATAAAGAAAGACATTTTTAACATCCAATTGACGCAGTGGCCAACCAAGAGAAACAACTAGACTGAAAATAATGCGAATGGTAGTCGGTTTCACAACAGGGCTAAAGGTGTTAGAATAGTCAAGTCCTGCTTGTTGATGATAACCCTTAGTGACTAGACGTGCTTTATAACGATCAATATGACCATCAGAATCAGTGGCGGACTTGTGCAGGCGCAAGGAGGTACGCCTGCACCTCCGATCGACAAAAATATCCATTACAGACGCTGGAGTTGCACCTTTGCTTCAGACCAACGATGTAAACAATGTGTTCGATGAAATGCGCAAACTACTGGGCTGGGGAAGCTATTGGTGCTTAGCGCAGCACGCAGGGTTTTTATTTTTATTTTTATTTTTATTTTTATTTTTTATAACAAAGCCTGGCCAAAATGACATCGTTTTGGACTAGGCTTTTTAAAATGCGGTCCTTTTTTTTTTATATTAAAAAAACTTGGCCAAAACGACGTCGTTTTGGACAAGGGTTTTTAAATTTAAAAAAGAAAAAGAAAAACAAGGGAAACTGCTACTGTATCACGTGGGCTTTTTGTGGGCTTTTCAAAAGGGCTTCTATTTCCTTACTTAATTGGGTTTTAATTGAGAGTTCTTTTTACTCAATTGGGTTTTGGGAATTCCTTAATTAAGTAGAATTGGGAATTCTTTTTATAAAAGACCAATAACACCACACAATTTCATCAAAATGTGTGTGCATCACAAGAATCCTGCGTTTTTTTTCCTTATTGAGTACGCCAATCCAAAGTAAGTCGAATGCATTTTTTTTTCTTCAGCAAACGCCAATTTTGTTTATTCTTTTTTAATAATTTTTTTTTTCTTATTTAGCTTTCTCTGTATTAGTAAGATCAGTAACAAACTCGAGGAGGAAGAGGCTATGTGACATGTTATTCGAGGTATAATTAATTTTTATTTATTTATTTAATTGATAATTTGATTTTTATTTTTTTATTTTTTTGATAAATTATAGTCAGTTAGTCATAGTAATAGATATAAAACCCTTATTTTGTTTCAATTGTACAATTATGGAACGGTACTTTTAGAGAAAGAGTTTAAATCCTCATTCAAATAATCCGAGTAGTTCAAATCCTCCTTTGAATAATCTGTCTAGTTCTAACCCTCCTTCAAATAATCTGGCTAGTTCCAA